TTGGAAGGTTCTAAGTTATAGAAATATCAAGTTGTGTGGAATGTTGCTTTGCGTCCTTGAATCGTGGTTTGACCGCATTGTCCAATAGTCTTGCCAGTATCGTCGTCGACATGCATGAACATCCGCCAACGCCCTTCACAGTTGAGACTTTCAGCTCATGCTTGTCTTGGTTGCGCTCACCTTCCCCTCCTTATGTTATTTCTATAACTTAGAACCTTCCAAGTTGGAAGGCTGTTGGAGTGCGCATCCAAGATGTGCTAGAGTTGTTAGCCAGTTAGTTGTAGAACGTCAGTACCGTCGGTCAGTGTCGCGCAATGTTATCGCATGAGCTGATTGTTTAGTAACTGGTGGTGTTAGTGGACAGTATAGCGTAACTTGTAGTTCCTTGGTCCTTTTCTTTTGTATAAATTCAATTAATAGTAATAATACACCGGAGAATGTACCCAGCGTGCTCACAGTGGAAGCAGAGCGTAATACCAACCTGCCTGATGATTGCGAGAGCATGAAACTTGAAGTAGCAGCAAACAAGCCTTGCTTGTCCTTAATTGTTGTTCTGTACTGTAATAATAATAAACACAGCTCGCATCTTCCCTGAACCTGTTAGACAGGAGCAGAGTCGACGTATCTGTCAACAGTGTCAAGCCAAGTTAGTCTATCTCCTGCAGCTTGGAGAGCGCTCTCCACGGAGAGATCCGCTGCCTTCAGGTTGTGCCAAATCGTATCTATCCACCGCGATGGTGGGGTTAACCCTTTGAGAGCCGATTGAAAATTTCAAAATTCTGCATATTTTCATGTTCTTTGGGACGTAACTTCATTAATTATTATTTAAGTACCAACAATTTTACTGATGTTGAGCTTTGCTGATGGTCTGCAGTACTGTGGCAACGTGTGGAGTTCAGCTGGAGAGGGCAGTTACCACTGTATGTTGGGGTAAAGTAAGTAAATTATCGTGTCCATTCCCGAAGGGAACTCATGACGGCCGCTAACATCCGGCAAAACCCTGGCGGCACATGCAGCGCCTAAGTAAATAGTTACCCTAACGGTGCATTTAGCTGCACTTGTGCCTGGTGACAAGTTCCCAGTTGACAGTGGGTAGCAGCACGGCTGGAAAAACCGCTCCCAGGCCCAGGCAGGACTCTCGTATCTCAAACACGGTCTTTGACCGACCCACTGTGCCTGCATGGTATGGTGTGGTGGTTGATCAAAAATCTGAACCTGCTGTTACTCAATCATTTTACAAGTAATTTATATAAAATTATTACTCAATCTGCGGACAGCATGCTGTTTCGTTCTTTCAATCCTTGTGAACTCATCAGAGCAGCACAGAGGAAATGAGGCCGAACCTGATAATCCTGAAATGAAGATTATTATTATGATAGCAATGAAAATCTCCTTACTGATTGCTTTTGCCTTCGTTCTACTTCTACTCGTACCAATTCCTGCACTCGCTCTCAGGTATCTTCGTCTGTCACTCTACCAAAAGCTAAAACTCGTTTCGGTCTCTTTTCAGTTTCTTTCATCGGTTCCGACCGTTGGAATGCACTCCCCGCTGCAGTCCGCTTATGCTCTTCACTGCACCTATTCCGTCATTCAGTACTTTCATTTCTAGGGTACCCTGTAAGAAGGCCTTAGGCCTGTGGGGATTGCCCTATCAAAAATTTGATAATAATAATAATAATAAATAAAAATTTCCAATCAGGCCTGAACGTACCTTGCCAGAGTGCTCAAACTGACAAGTCAGTGAGCTCTGCGTAATCAACAGTAATGCAAACAGCAAAGGCACTACCCCACATGAGAGTGCTCAACTACTACAATAATTAAAAAAGTCTGAGCTGATACCGAGCGGCGAGTGGGAGTAAATGGTTGCGTTTTTGTAGTGCACTGATGCTGCTGAAGCGAGTGAGGTTGAACACCGTGCGCAAGGCAAGTCTACTCAAGCGAACCAGGCGCTCATATTGACCCTCACGAAGGCAGTGAGCAAACGCATTCGACCCATACTCGAGAACTGATTGGATGGACGATATGTAGAATGTTTTCTTGGCGTGCTCCGTGAGTTGGTGTCGTATCTTCCTGAACATAGCGATCTTGTTTCCAATCTTGCGCTCAAGATTCTTTCCTTGTGTTTCTTATTATTCCTTTTACCAACATTTCACACTCACTTTGCGCACTTTCTCTCGCATCCATAACTATGTTACTAGTACATACACAAATAGGAGATCCCCCAGATAGGCGTTAGCCTTTGGGTAATCCTGAAATAAAGATTATTATTATTATTATTAAGATGGGCGATGTGGGCACCGAAAGTAAGGTGTTCATCCAAAACGATGCCAAGGTACTTACTTCACTTCCCTAACAAAATAATAAATACTACTGCTACTACTACTACTACTGCTACTACTCCTACTACTACTACTACTACTACTTCAGGCAAAGGGGCAATTGAGGTGTTGTTCAGTTGAAGGCTGACGTCAGGGGTCAAAGGTGTGAACTTCGACCTGAAGATTATGAACTGAGTCTTGTCAGGGTTGAGGCAGAGACCTCGTGCAGCCAGGAAATCACGAACAATGGTAATATCCTCAGCGAGATCGAGTGTGAGTTGGTTTAGGTCCTTGCCAGCTTTGTAGAGGGAAACATCATCTGCATATTGCCGTGCCTTGCAGTGCTTTGTTGCCGAGGGAAGATTACGAACTGATAAATTGAACAAAGAGGGCCCAAGGACGGAGCCTTGCGGCACACCTCTGTTTCCTGATAATGTGTCCCCCTGAGCTGTCTTCGTGACGACACGCTGTTCCCGGTTCTGTCACTGTACCTCCCACGCCAATGTCTGTCAATTCTTGTAGGAGCATGCCATGGTTTACCGAGTCAAATTCCTTGGACATGTCCAGGAATGCGGCAACAACAAAGTGTCCCTGATCAAGGGATGTGTGCCAGTCGTTCACTACACACGCCAGTAGGTCTTCACAGGAGTGGTGTTTCCGATACGCAAATTGCTCCGGGGGGAGTAGTGGTGAATCAGTCGGAGCAGTGTAGATGTGATCCATGAGTTGTTCATGTGCCAGTGTCTCCAGAAGCTTAGCCATCTGCGGCAACAGTGATATCGGCCTGTAGTTGCTAGCAATGGACTTGTCACCTCTCTTGTAGATGGGACGTACATGTGCCAATTTGTAGCATTCGGGAAACTCACCGGTGGACAGTGAGGACGAGAAGAGCCGTGCAAGTGGTGCTGATATTTGCTCTCCAAGTATCTTGTAGATGGGGGGAGGGATCAACTCAGGACCTGTGGCCTTGCGGTTGTCAAGATGTCGTAGAAGAGCCAGGACGTCATCGGCTGTCACAGCGGTGAACTCCGAGAAAGAGTGTTGAGTCAGTGGCCCATGTGGAATTGTCAGAGGGATTTGTGAGTTGGGTGAAAGATCTGTAATGACCTTGGCAAACGTAGTTGTGATATCGTGCAGACTTGCAGCAGGATTTTGCGAGATCTTCTTCCTTCCAAGTAAAGTGTTGAGAATGAACCACTGGGCACGTGGGTTGCGTCGATGGTCATGCACGTGGGTTGCGTCGATGGTCATGCAGTTGTTGCTGGAATAACGCAGAGCGCTTTTCTTAGTAAGCAATTTACATTGACGTCTAAGGCCTCTGAAGTTCTGGACAAGACGTGCACAGTCTGGGTGTTTGGTCATGGCACGGTGAGCACGTTTTCTTCGGTAAAGCAGTTGACGGAGTTCATCATCGACCCAGGGTTGCGGCATCTGTTTCCTGGTAGCACGTACTTGTACCAACGGGCAGTATTGGTCTAGTGAAGAAGTGATCTTGTCCTGCAAGCTCTGGAGATCATCGTTGTGAGTTTCAACTTTGTAGATTGACCATTTGTTGAGCTACACTTGTCTGGAATTCACAAATAGGTAGCGTACGAATGGGTGGTTTGCGAGTGTAGAAGTGATGTTTGGAGCGTACGATTGGTAGGAGGAGGTGCATAGTTGTACAGTTACAAGTTGGTGGTCGGACACGTCGCACGGTTCTACTGAGCAGGTATGGAGATAGAGGTCAGTGTGTGCTTGACTATTAGGTGAGATGTATTGCAGTGTATTCGGTACTAGGACAAAATAAAATTAAAAAAAAAGAAGTCTAGAGTGGATTGGCTGGAAAGTCTCGTTGGTGTATTGACTATGTTACGGAGGCCTAGATCATGACAATATGTTTCCAGATGGTGGTGATGTGGATGGTGACTGTCTTGTACATTGACGTTGAAATCACCAACGACAATAAGAGTAGACTTTAGTGGTGAAGACTGAAGTGTGTCATCTGTCATTTCGGTGAGCTTCTGCCAGAAAGTGACTGTCTGTGCAGGAGCGCGATATGCACAGATGACTGTCAGTGGATGTTGTGGTAGGGAAATGTGGACAGACAGCGCTTCAGTGTCATGGGTAAGACTAATCATTCTGCTCTTGAATTCGTCACGAACATAAAATGCATACTCCTCCGCCTTTCTTGCATGATCGGTCTAAGCGATGGAGGTCATATCTTATGGATTACGCTTGCCGCAGAGGGGCTGAGGGCTAGACCCACAGCTACAGGACACTTCAGATCCTGCCTCACTAGACCTTGTCTTTTAAAAGATTGCATTCAGTTTTGGCGGGGACAATGCCGCCGACACACGACCAGCAAAATCCTTAACTGTCTTTGACGCCATCACAAATGTAATCGATCAAGCAATCTTCGGAAAGCGTTTTTGGAGAAGGTCGCTTCGTGAAAAGCATTCGTTTCACACCAAAGGCCGTGCCAGGCACATGGAAACATGTCATTGTTGGCAGATTCTTCAATTTCTTGTTTACGTTCCACAAAGACATAACAGGCTTACTTGTCCGGAATGTCAAGGCTGCACGTGATTTGCGGCCCATATTTAGGGCCACATCGCCGAGACTATATCCGGAACTGGACTCCTTTAGCTGCACCCGGCTTTCTCAACACACAAAATATATTGGGCCCGCAAGTCTGCCAATCGTGCCCCGTCAGAAATGCGAAATCCTTATTAGCTCTGTGCACTAGCTCGTAGTACAGCTAGCAGAGCTGGTTTTGTAATTCCAGAATGCAGGCCTGCCATGCTCGGCCAGACTGTCGACGCCGGTCGCCAAATCGGAACTTTCCTGTCCGCGAAATCCGCCAGTGGTGCCGCCAGAGCTAGAGGCGCCTACTATACCACACCGCCAGCCTCCTCTTTGTCGACGATAAAACCTCCTGCTTGGACCACAACACTAGTAGGCGGCAAGCATTCATTTTCCAACCTCTGTCGTGTTGCATTGATCAAGTTATCGTTACTGTCCCAGAATACGTAAATCGGAGGAGAGCTGTCGCAGAATACGTATATTGGAGGAGAGGAAGAAGAAGGTCTTGCCGAGCCATATCTTCAGGTGAGTGATACATAAGGATGTCCGTTGCTAGACCTATCTCCTGTGTTAGACTCCTGTAAGTGCACTCGTAAGATCTTAAACATTTATTTAAAGTTGCGAATATGTTCCTCGAGTAGTGCTTATGTTTTACTCTTTAAAAATGTGGGCGCTGGGGATGGGGGCGCCGATAAGTTTAGCGCAGTATGACTCTTTGAGGTGTTGTTTTTTGGAATGGCGTCGATACAGACAAGTATCAGCTCTTGTTACTCTATTTAAACTTATACATATGGGCCAGTGCATGCAATACCGTGTCTAAGGGCAAATTTTTGGAAATTTTTTTCTTTCTTGAAAATCAATCACAGGGGTCTAGAGAACACCTCTGTGGAACATAAGGTTGGATTTCACATTTGAAAGTACATAGAGACCATGATTTCTATGGCATTGTCCAAAATAGAATATGCCTTGTATAATGCATTATCTACAGTGTCGTTGAAAGCAGCAACAGTTTTGCGTGTCAGCCTTTAGTATTGGTCAAGACATTCAATGAAGGCTGCCTTGTTCTCCAGTCAAAACTGGGCAACATTGTCCAGCAAGTTCTTGCGGCGTTGAGCTAACAAGAACTCGCGTTCTTTTTGTGCAAATACAACATGGTCACGGAGTGGTTCCATTGCAGAATTCTTTTCATCCTATGCACGAGGAGAACGAATATCGTCCCGGAGCAGCTCACACTTGTTGCACACATCCATCCGTCGCGTCATGAACTCCATGGACTTGCACTTCTTGGTCTACAGATACAAAAATATACGGTAACCCAGGGTTTGCGCTTCACAAGACTGCTCGACATGTTCCGAAAGGGCAAACTTGTAGGCGACAGATATAGGTAAGTTTATGGGAGATTCCTCACCTCTCCCTCTTGGTGCAGCCGACAGCGGGAGACTGAACACTAAGCTGTAGTTCAGAATAAACTGCTGCGCTCTGTCTCCCACTTCTGCACTAAATTTACTCCAAGGCACATTGCCAGATTTCCATGTGCACCAGGGTGACAGCTATTGTTCTCCTTGTCCACTTGCACACAGTCATGTTCTGCCAACCACAATCATCATGATCATGGAGCTGCATAAACGCGGTTCCACACACGATGTATCCCATCACAGTTTATCCAAACGTGATGCGCGTCCGTTCTGTTGCGGAAGCTGTCGACTGATGCGCGACAGTCGATAGGATCGTCATGAGTGCAGCGCAGCCAGCACACCAATATAAAAAATACCGAGGTCCTTCGATTTCATCGCCGAGATTTAGTCGTCGTAATGGAGGATTGCGCTCGGCGTGAAGCTGCTGATATGGTAGTTCCAAACGCAGCCACAGCCTTCGAGGATCAGTGAGTCCACAGCGGCAATGCTCTGAAGCGCGTCCTGCTCATCGTCGCTTGCAGAGTCCACAGAATCTCCGCCTAAATTCATCCGCTCTCGACTCGCCTTCAACCTCAACGCAGGAGTCTTTCACTCGCGGACGCTTAGCTGGGGCTTCGTCAGAGTTACTGTGAGCATGCAGTACAACAGCTAGTTGCCGATTGCTCCGACTCACGACTCGCCAAATAAATTGTCGTCTTCCTTTTCGATAGTAAACGTTGCCGATCTGTACGGACGCACCGACGATAATCACGCGAGCGGTGAAGCTCAACTGACGTGCTGCTCGGCGTCTGCCGCGAATGTGTCTACTCAGAGGCCCTTCCTCAAGTGCTACTTCCAACTCCTCCTGCGCCGCCACGTCCATGATGATTGCTGCAAGTCGATCGCTTGTCGCTTCTCTTGTCGTCTTGAGATCGATTAGGAATGACAAGATCCGCGATCGAGCCACAAAAAATATAACTCTTCTTTCCGAGCGATTTTCTCAAAATTCTGAAAGAAATCGGTTTCCCCCGAAGACACGTTTTCGCATGCACTGGCCCATATATCTCCAGAACACCTCCAACATTTTCACCTTTCACTGTCTTCAAGTCCAAGAAGACCAAACAAACTTAACATCAATTATTACGGTGTGCGTTTTTCTTCCCTCTTTTCCAACAAAGCTGCAATGCTATGGAATTGCCTTCCGCCTTCTCTTACCTCTATAACCAGCCTCCCCGAATTCAAGCATTCTCTCTATCAGCATTTTCGCCGATATATCCATTACACTGACGGTATCCCAACTCCTTAATTACCAGATTTTGTATGCCTCGATCTATTTCCTTAGCCTATCCTCGATTAACTGCTCCCTCTACATAAAGTTGCCATTTCATTCTTCTTGCAGGAGATCCCCTCGACAGGCCCAAAGCCTTTGGGAAACCCTTCAATATAATAAATACAAAAAATACATGAAATTTCTGCCATTTTTCAGTAAGAAAGCTTCCTGTCGAAGTGCGTCTTCCCTCGATTTTGAATCTTATCTATGCAGTCGACTATGCAGTCGACAATTTTGTGCATTTTGCAGTTGCAGAAGTATAGCACAGATTTGTTTGTATTCTGCATCGTGGTTCAAAAATGGAATATGTAGTCCGTGAATAAATCTGGAAACACACACACATAATTGAAGAAGGGCTGAGGCTTCCTCCAGAATGCGATACATTGCCCAATAGTATAAACTAGGGGTTACCGCAGTGATCACGGACTGAAAAATATAAAAAACTATCTCTGTGAAATTCGGGTGGGATTTTGTGAATTTGATCGTAACGTAGATAAACGCAATACATAATATGTCAACTAACAAACAAACCAGTGAATAAGAAAAGAAAAGAAAAAGGACCAAGGAGCAACAAGTTATGCTATAATGTCCACTAACACCACCAGTTCCTAAAAAATCAGCTCATGCGACGAACAAAAAAACATACATGAGAGGTTGTCTGGAAATATCGACCTTCGGGGATCCCCGTGTTTTGCGAGAAGATCAAGAACGAAATCAAGATAAGAAAAATATTGGAAGGAGATCGCAGTCACTTGCCCTCAGGTGTTGGGCTAGAAGTGAGTCAAGTCTTGATTGTGTTTGAACAAGATAACACCAACACATTGCAGTGTGGACCAATGATCGTCTTACAGGCAACGAAGGGGGACCAGCAACAGTGAAAGCGGCGAAGAGTAGTTCGTCAGGGTGCGCACAGCACGTTGTCGACCTTGGCACCCTAGGCTAACAAGAAGTAACCTATTGCCTTCCCTGACGGGACACGGGAGTGTAATAGCAGTTCAGACTTATAAAAAACATCTGTTTTCATGTTTTGAGGTGGAGGTGAGAATATACAGTTTGAAGTTGGCGGACAAAGTATCTACCACTAAACGAGCGAGGCACCACAGTGGGCTTGGTGACGGCTTGGAATAATCGCACTGTAGAAAGATTACAAATTGCGGATTCAACTTATCGGGCATGTTTGCTCTCAGTTTTGTTTCGTGCGCAATACGACTACGACTTTCCTGGACTCGCAGGGTCGCATGGGGGAAAATAAATGTAGGACTCGGTAGCCCAGCGATCCTCTATCATGTGATCATTGCTCTATATATGGTCAAATTGTTCAGAGACCACTATGCATGGTCACTCTATATGTGGTCAGTTGCAATTTGTCTTGTCTATATATGGTCACAAACATATGGCATGCAGCATACACATAATTATACACGTACATATGACAGTGGAAGTTCCGTATCGGAAAGGACTGGGAAGAAGTGGAGAGTTTAGGTATAAAACGGAACATATTCATTCCATAACGTTCCGGAGATGACCAAAAAGGATTCATTTCATGTGTAGCTTGTCCGTGAATCCATATTTAGCCACATTTCAAATGTGGATAAATATGGATTTTGGACGTAGCATTCATGTCCTAAAGGTGCCTCTACACCTATCGATAACAATAAGCTCGAAATCTGTATCGCACAAATATGGCGCTTTCTCTTCAAGGGGTCCTTCGAGCCGAATCTAGGGTGTGCTTGATTATTTATGATTATTCATCCTTTGGATGAGCACATGTTCAAGCACTCGGCTGGTCAAGGGTAGCAGACAGAAGACGGGTGCGATGCAGAGTATGGATGCTGGTTCGGTCACAGGAGCATCACACACAGTACCGTCACTACGGTATTGACTGTACCACGTTTTGCTCCAGATAACCCGTGAATCAATAAAATACGCCCGTCTCGAGTCTAAATTTCCAATATTTTCGGCTCAGCCACCACTCCCCCATGAGTAAATTGTACTTCTGATGGCTGACCATACCACACTAAAATACCTTCCGACGCCCTTGGGTCATCACACCTGCAAAGAGAAGAGAAGTTGCGAAGTCAAATAAATACAAACCACAACAGCTACAGGGGCGTCACACACGGTACGACCACTACGACCATGGTCGTACCACTTTCCGTTCAGGATGGTCCACCCAATTCACCCGAAAAAGCAATAAAAAAATTCAAGGATCTTCGGACTTGTACAAAACATCGCAACTGTTACTTTCATTGCAAGGAGCATACAGACTTGATGCCTAGCGCTAGCAGCTAGCTATTGCCCAAGACTCCAGGCGGCTATCCATTACGATAGGCGGTTGGAGTCACGGTTAGAGACAACCAGACGATGGATTCCTCACGGACGCATTCACTGCAAACTTGACGGAAACAGAGCTGAGCTGGCGGCGATCACTGGGTCCAGAACTAAAATTTTCCAAGATCTACCATGTTACAATGGCGATCAGCACGTCAAGAGACACTACATGTATGTCACTTGTCAGCTACAACATAATAATTATATTCTTTCCACAACGACACCTACCTAGTACCTCTGGCTCCTGACGATCTACTGCGAGCGGATTCGAAAATGCATTACACCCGCGAACGCAGCGCTTGTCAACGAAAAAGGGAAGCGCTTCATTCTCCGAAGCTGAAACGTGTTTGGACTGCTGCTCCACGGCGGCAGAATATTCTGCAGCTGTTCACCGACACGACCCGCTTCACCTATATTATAACGATTTACGATTGTTTCGTTCCCCGAGTTTTCTGGTAGCAGCAACAAGAATTTCGTCCGAGACGACAGGACGAAAGTCTCTCGCAAACTAAAGTCCTGTTGCCACGAAGACAGAGATTCCGCAAGCGCTTTCTTCTGCTTCCATTGTTGTAGCTCTCCGGTCCACTGGCAGATCTTTCAATCCCACCGAACAAAAACAAAGGATCTTCTTCTCTCTCTAAAAACAACTAAAAGAATTACTTCGCGACTGTCCAGGCCGGACGTGTACATAGTGTACGCGACGCTGCCGGCAGACTTTTGCAGGACACAACATACGTTTTTGCATAGCCGCTGGCGCTAGAACGCGCAGCACACTTGTACTTCGGATTTTGCGATTTTTTCGAGGGCAATGGCCCTGAATCATTGAATGGGTTCCATTTGCCTTGCTTGGCTACCTACGATGTACAGAAAATACCAAAAATCCATGAGAAGTATGTTTTTGGAGCTGGAGTGGGGTTGTCTAATAAGTGCTAGGGGAACCCTCCTTTGCGGCTGTAGAGTGCTAAAACGTGGCCTGTTAGCCGAAAAATCCTTATTTTTTCTCCGGGGGACACCCCCCGACCCCCGGTCGTACCACTCACAGCAAACCTGTGACGCCCCTGAGCTAGTACAAGTACGGGGAAGGAGAAGCTCTGGTAGCAATGGCAGCCTAGCATGGCGAAGGCCTAAGTTGCATGCACAGAAGGCAGCCTAGCATGGCGAAGGCCTAAGTTGCATGCACAGAAGACTGTCGCTGGGATTTGTCCACCCCCATTTATAGTTTCTGTTCAATATACCAGAACTCTATCATAGCCTTTGTCTCTTGTGTCTGCCTTTCTATTTCCTTCCCTGCTGCTTGCGTGACATGGCATGAGTTTATCTACTTCTGAAGTAGCTGTTCTGCTGCATAGAGTATAATTAGATATACTGTGTTGCTCAATAAAATCTGGTTGCATTAGTCCAGTTTGCGCCTTGCACCATTTCACAGCCCGCTGTTGGCAGGTCCAGGGCTACGCAATGCCCCACTGCATACTGGGTGACTTGATCAGTTTTCATTGAGCACCACTGTACATGTATTGTATTGTGTGTTGCTGTTTGTGATTTGCAGATTATCAAGCAAGATGGCCCGGCAACTTGGGTTGACGGTACCCATCATCCTGATGATCATGTCCTTTCGTTATGGTGAGTTCAGTTTGGCTGTGCTTTGCAAGCGTTGGTGGGTTCCTGGTACATTGAAATCACGGCAGAATGACGATTATCGGAACAACTATGTGAATAATCAATATTCCGAAAATAAACACACTTAGCTTAAGCAGGCTGACGTTTGAAGACAACATTCAGCAGGCTGTGCTGGCATGATGACCATAATCTTTTTTATTTATATTTTTTTATTGTTATTTTTACTAGAGCCACGTAAAACCGTCACGTGTGAGCCATGAATAAGGGGAGTGGTGGCGTGGTCTGGGATGCTCTGTCGACCTTGGGTCTCGGCTTCATCACAACCAGGCGCGCCAATAGCAGATCTAGCTATGAACATAAGCCACTACCACCCTAGACATAACTCTCAAAGTTTCGCCAGTTTTTTTTCATTTTCAACTCCAACTAGACTAGTTTTTAAAACAATCACGCTATTCTGCACTCAAAATCTGAATCCAATTCTCGGCAATCGGGTTGATCGGCAACATGATGATTTTCGCGCCAGAGGTGAAGGATCTTGCAGCAATGTGCTGTTGGTTTTCTGAGCTGCAGTGCGGTGAGAATTGAGTGTCAGTCTGCTCATTGCGTATGCTTTGTAAAAGAATAATAATTATAATTCGGATACTGAGCCAGTAATACATGTAAAAAAGAGAAGAAAACACATGAAAATGGGTATGTAGTTGCTGCATACGCCTCATCCCTCTGGCAATTTCAACTCTCCAGTGCTCAGGATACTACCTTTGAACGGCCTACAGGAAAGAGTGGCACGTGTGATCCTGCGGCAGTATGGCGTGTACTCTCCTCAAACGGAGCCGAAAGCCTCACTTTTCGTGCACCTCCAGTGGCCCAGCCTCGCATGGCGAGGACACATTCAGTGCCTTGTCGAGCTCCACCACCTCATCAATAGCCAGATGACGACCCTGGAGGACCTAGGCTACACGGTTTCAAACAGTGCTAGGCGCCCCCAACATCTACTCCCGCCTGCTAGAGCCAGCACACACACCCGTGCCACATTTCTCTTTGTCACCACTGCCACATGGAACTCCCTCCCGGCTGCCATTCGTACTGTATCCAGCCCCAAATGTTTTACCGCTCTTGTCCGCACACACTTTGCTATCACCCGTCATGAGCCCTCTGGTTTCATTCCACGTAGAGTAGCGATGTCATAGAGCACTGTGTTATATTTCTACCAACCCGCATCATTCTATTTCCTATTTTTACTTTCTCCTCAGCTTCTTCTTCATAAGCTGTTGACGGAGACTCTCTCGATGTAGGCTAAGGCCTGTGGAGAATCCATAAATACAAATACAAAATACAAATATAAACCTTATTATTCACTAAACGTGCATTGTGTGTGCATTGTGTGCTCTTCTGTGTTGTTCAGCATTTGCGGACAGTACAGTTACAAAACGTAAGTGAATATAGTCTTACATACACTCAAATGGTTCTGTTCACACCGCTTGTTCTTTTCCCATATTTGGCCTATTTAAGCGAACTGTTTCCTCGCACGTTGCATTTGAGTGAACTAATTTTCTGTAGCACAACCAGTGCATAGCCCTACTGGTGGAAAAATCGTATTTCAGGTTATTCCATACCTGATAGAATTTTAATTTTATTTTCATTATTGTATTGGTTTTGGTGAGACTCCCATGATAGGTATCCATTTACCTCTGGAGAATCCGTAAATAAACAAACTGAACTGAACTGAACTGATATCAAACTAGCAGTAATGGCCAATATCATGATTCAATGGCCTGGAGACCAAGGAAAGTTTCGGGTCTTTTGAGTTCTCTACTGTAAGCAATGAGCACTCCTTTATTTGGCAATGCTGTTCAATGAAATCCGAGCGTGTGGATCCAGTTCGTGCTCTGCGCCATTTCACACCCCTGTGTTTGTAGATCTAGGTATGTGTAGCGGCCAGTGTGGCATTGACTTGCGTTATTGGATTTCATTGAACAGCACAATATGTTTGTCAAATGGAAGGTACAGGCTTTTCACAATTTATTTTTTATTTTATTTTTTTATCACATTGCACATACCTACGGAAGAAGGGGAGACAAAACGAGGACGAAACAAAAAGATAACAATGGGTGTGTAGGCGCTACATGAGCTGCGCTGGTGAGATGCAGTGGACTCCCCCGACCAAGGGTCTCGGGATCGGCGTACACAGCAAGCACCATGGGAGAGGGGGGGGGGGGGGGGGGGCGAGAGGAACATAGCCAGCAATCGCATGTCATCACGTACATTCAAAATCAACATAATTTTTCGAATCGACCTTTTTTTCAGGATCACTTTTCAACGAGGACGAAGCAAAGTCGGCCGAACGAAGCCTGGAGGAAGAAAATCACCCTCTCCACTTCACCATCACGATACTGACCTAGATACGAGATGAAACAACTAAAAAATCCACAAGAAAACTGTACGACCATCATCGCGCTGACTTTGGTCTGACTTTGGTCTGAGAATTTCTATCACGATCAAAAATGTACGAGGAGCACTCAAAAATAAGCAACAGACGTACCTCTATCGCTCTCTACTCCTTTTTCAAGGCACAAAAGTCGACTCTCCACTTTCAAACCAGGAACCAGACATACCAGTGGTCCTTTTCAGCTGCTCCACGAGCGCAGGAAATGTTCACCAAGGGGCGCAGAGCAGCATCCATTCCAGAAAAAGAGCTAAAATACGAGTGAGACTGCATGCCTGAGTACATGAGTACATGTATGAGTACATGCAGAAAATAGTCAATTTCAGCGTTTCTGCTCCAAACAGCAACTAGCTTCGACTAGAAACAAAGATTACACCAAAGGATCAAACAACAACCATTTTCTGCAGTTTTTTTGCAGATGGCTTCCTTGTGCTGGGCCCAGCACGCCAAAAATCACACCTCGGAGGAGTACAAAAATTACAACTCTCAGATGTCCTCGATTGCTGGCCATGTAGCGGAGAGAGAGAGAGAGAGAGAGAGCGAGAGAGAGAGAGAGAGAGAGAGAGAGAGAGAGTGAGAGAGAGAGAGAGTAGAGAGAGAGAAAGTGAGAGAGAGAGACAGACAGAGAGAGACAGAGAGAGGGAGAGAGAGTGCACAAGAAAGAAGAGAGCGAGAGAGAGAAAGAGAAAGATGTTCGCTGATTTCTCAGCGGCAGCCATGATCCAGTCATGTGTCAAGCTAGGCATAAAGCATGAACTCAAACACGACTAGCTAACTTTGTCTAATTAGTCAATGTCTGTGACAACCAAAAATCAAGTGGCATGGCCTAGTTTCCAGTATCCCTCCAATGTGGAATGTTCTACAGGCATAACTGACAGAGTGGATGAAAGAGGTCCACCAAGGGATTGAAAAAGGGATTGGAAAGGCCAATGTTTGAGTGATATCGGAATTTGGCTGTGACTATCCAATCATAATAGTTATGTATGGTTGTTATAGACAAGGTTCGATTCACTAAATTCTGTTTTTTTGTGGTCTTGTTTTGGTGCAGAGTCGCTTTTTGCATGTAAGTTACTGTATGTTTGTTCCCATCTTGTTTTTGATTCTTTCCTGGCCAATGTAATTAGGCTGTGAGAGGCTGTGCGCATGTGTGCATATAATGCTGGATCAGTACTATTGGGTCCGGCTTGCCAAGGAGAAAAACAAGCTTCCCCACAAGTAAATAACATACACATTGCGAAATCCACTCACATACCGACTCACCCGTTAACCTATCCTGAATACCGACCCGGAGCCAGCTCATGGAAGGCGGTACCACCCCAGACCTGCCACACTGCCGATCATTACCCTGAGCCGGAACACAAACAATATTACTTTATCATTTTGGTCATCTTTTGTATTTTCATGACATGATTGTATCGGTTTATTAATATTGCCCCGTGCAAGAGGCTGCGCAAGTCTGAAAAAAAATCATTACCCCATGCCCAATTTCAGTATCTTGGGAGGATGAGTCTTTAACTCTATATGCTACATCGGATCAGGTTACTTTGTTAGGTACATATATATAGACAGCACCATAGTCCTCACTGGACAGCAAGAACACTGAAGGAGGGAGATGGGGGGGGGGGGGCTCTAGCAAAGGGGTGTACGAGGATAGCTATAAGCCCGACGTGCCTGTGGCACCGGCCCTGAAATACGTTCAACTGCAGACAGCTACCTTTTAATTGCTCTAAGGCCACACCAAGTTCATTCTATGTTTCGCGTCGGACATTTTCTGGAAAACGCACGCGGGCGAGCGGAAAAACAAAAACAGAGGAAAACAAAACTCCATTCTATGTGTACTGAGCCATGTTGCACACAGAATAGCACTACTAAACTGTCACTAATATCCAAAATGACAACAAGTCGCCACAGGACAGCTGGCAGACTGGGCTGGAGCGATACAATAACAAATTTCATGGATGGCTCCTACTGCACTTTGACATGAGACGAGTGGAATTCCGCTCCATCTATTATCAAGGTTTCGAAAAGGTACGCGCGCCGTAACGAGAAACATAGAAAATAACTTGGTGTGGCCTAATACTGTAATAAAATGATAGTTGATCTTGCTCTCGTTTGCTCTTGCCTGTATGTCACCTGAAGAAATGGCAGGGGGTAAGGGGTGGCCTAAGGCCCTCTAGAGTGGTGTGAGTTGCCAGTATGATGCAAGCCAGATATTGATTGATCTTAGAAGGATAGATTTACCATCACTGCGGATAAGAGTCATACTGTAGCTCAGTTGGTCAGAGCATTGCTCACAAATAGCAAGGTCCCTGGTTCGAGTTCCGGGTGGTGTGAACAATAATTTTTCTTCCTTTCGTAACTGGCTGGAAAGTGTTGAGTTTCGGAGAGCAGAAAAAACTAAAGAGCAGTACGAGGCCAGTAGCCTCCAATTTCCTAAGAAAATAAAACCTGGTGTAAGCGACCTCTCTTAACGACCCTCTTTCCGTACACACACACTGTGGGACCTGGTTTTAAAGACCACCTGGCTTTAATGACCGCTTTTGCTTGCACCGTGGGGTGGCCGCTTAATTACACCAGGTCCGTTTTTCTCCGAAAAAAATTCTTCCCAAATTCTTCCAAATTTGAAAGAGCATCGAAAGGTTTGGCGAATTGTTAAACTACTATGTTGTTTGGACAAGGAGGACAAATTCCATCTGCCAGCGGAGAGGGCTCAACACCATCATGTGGAGCACTATTACACACAAAAGGCAGTCGCCTGATGATTGCATTGAGCAAGCAACCCTGAGTTGTGACAAATATGTAAACCTCCATTATGCCTTTTGTGTGTTGTCTGCACATGTACCTAGAGGTCGGGGTCGAAAATGAATTTTACTCACTTTACATTTTAGAAAAGAAAAAAGGATCAAGGAACTAAAAAGTAAACGTGGGGAGGCTTCCTGCAGTTTCATAAACAGCCCACACGCTCTGTTCCATAACCACTGCAAAGAAATGATTCAACTCATTTCACAATAATTATTACAACCTTTCGGCAAATTGCCTTCATCAGGTTCACAAGGAACTAAAAGTTACACTCTAATTCCCACTGACACCACCAGTCACTTGACTGGCAGCCAGTTAGTTGTAGAACGTCAGTACCGTCGGGCAGTGTCGTGCAATGTTATTGCATGAGCTGATTGTCAAGGAACTGGTGCTGTTAGTGGCCATTATAGCGTAACGTGTAGTTCCTTGGTCCTTTTTCTTTACTATAAATTAATCATTGGCTTTCCATTCGAGTATATACTCACTTTACTAATCTTCTTTTCTGTTGGTACAGTCGATACATATTGTCAGTCGCCAACTTCTAATAGGTGGAACAAGGTGATGGTATTCAACCAACCTCGAGAGATGTTGCTTGGCCAGGCCATCATGCATTGTGCTAGAATCAACAAACGACTGACGGATTCCTATGATTGCAGGGATACTTGGCGGAATACCTACAACGCCAGGGTTTACTGGATGAGACCGAAATCAACTTCGAAGTTCTTTGATAGCAACAATATCGATTGGTATAAAATGCTGACTCCTAAACGAGCAGTTGTGTGCGAAGGCGATCTTGAAACGCCCGAGCCAGAGACTCTGAAATCAGGTTTGTTTCCTTGCCCATTGTCAGTTTCGATCAAATTTTCAGTTAAACAAACCCATGATAGAACATAGTATTCGCTAATTTGGCACACGTGGTCCGCGTCATCAATATTGTCGCTTTTTATTCGACAATTTGAACTTAGGCTTTGGACAACAAAACGTGCACTTGAGGTGATACAACTTTGTACGATTGAAGTAAGGTATAGAATGACAGCTAGCCATGAGGAATGTATTGTCCAGGGAAGAGTTCATAATGTTTTTGGTCCTGCTCGGCGCTACTCTCGGCGCTGGTGACACATAGTTTTGCCCGGGATTGAGTCTCTCGCTTTCGCAAGCTCATCTCTCTTCCTCTTCGCTGCCTAGCTATTTTCTAACGGGAAATGGATCGTAATGGTCGCCTTATCTATAAGACTTTCCGTAGGCAGCACGACTACCTGTGTGGTTCAAATCAGTCGCAAGAATTTAGTTTGAGCAATGATACGTGAAGTGCTTGTAGATCTCCACGATGCGCTGGATACTCGGAGCGTTGAGCTGTAGATGAGGGAGCTGTGATCTCAGCTTGGCGAGCGATCCCCGACGTAAACGATCTCGGCCTTTTTGCAAAATGGAACTGATTCAGAGTAGCCAAATATTTTCTTGTGGGTCGCGCTGTTTCTGCCTGTGGGCTGTGACAAGAAGTTCTATTTTTGATGCGGTGTGGTATCAATCAGAATCACCCACCCGTCGCTCTCGAAATCCACTCCAAATCTAGCTTGGACCTTCAATCACTTTTAAGCTAGCTTACTAACCTTAAGTAGGATGAATTGGTCTGCCAAGTGAGCATTGTCGATATAAAAACCAAGCTAAAAGATAAGCGACAATATTGGTGACGCGGACCAAGTAGTCAACCTTCGAACAGGTAGCTGTTTGCATTTTATTAGATCTCGTCAGCAGAACTCAGAACTACTGGATTAACCGATTGCAATATTGTCTAATGAATGATAAGGCACAAGCTCATAGCATCAACGTCAGAGAGCTCTGACTGCGATCAACACAGCGAACGGTTCGCATCTGGGGACAGGGATTGATGTTGGATAGAGTAGTGTGACATTAGCTGAAAACAGAAACGAACTACTACGACTAAGAATAAAGTGTCTGGGTGCGTGTGCGTGTAGCTGTATATGTGTACATGTGTATGTGTTTGTGTGTGTGTGTGTGTGTTTGTGTGTGTGTGTGTGGGGGGGGGGGGGGGGATTAATGTACATGTATATCACGAAGAGTAGGGCTTCCTGAAATAAGACGACACCATCTGTAGGGTTCCCTATTAAAATAATAAATACTACTACTTCGAGAAGTACTACTATATTACTAGAGTGCAGGTGCAGTGGCGGAAGCGCATATTGAATAAGTGGATATTTTGCATGGTGCTCATTTTCCGTGTTAGTTGTACAATTGTCTTTGTACAATTGTTTTTGTTTTTTCTCATTGTTACCCGAATGAATAATTGTTGTGTTTGGTGTAAAAAAAAACCCTAGAGTGTAGGTGCTCGGCGAGATCTTTGTGGTACTCCGCTGCTAATGAGATGCGCAGATGAAACACCCTGTTCAATCTTCCCCTCTTTATCTTCATGTTTTTAAAGATAAGTTTTAACCCTTTGTGGGTCTTACTCAATGTATGTGAGGGGTGGTCAATCAAACACGCGTACAAACAACCAGCCATAACTCAAGTTCTGTGAGTTGTAGGTATGGGTAAACTATATATTTTCAAAATCTGTATGCCTGGACGAGTCCAGAAAACACAAATATGACCATGTCCAGGCAAGGGTATGACCCGTGGTAGCCTTTCAAGTTGAGAGAAAATACAATTGCGAACAAAAAACACAAAAATCACAGCGCGAAGTGCATACCAAGGTCGTGATGGAGCTGAAGTCCTATGATAAACAATCAGGTAAGCGCTACGTCTTGGTGAAGAATATATTATGCTCCTAATTCCGTCCTTGAACTCCAATACCTCGCCATCGGCGATGCACCAGAAGCAACAGTTCCACAATATCACAATTTTAGTTCGTTCACCTCAGCGCCGCTCGCGTCAGATTCACTCTCGCTCAGATGAGTACTCAGGCGCGATTTCACGCATGCCGTGATTCTCACGGCCAGGCGGATCAGCTGATCGCACCTGACAAGTCCTTGTAAGAGTTGCTGTTGCTGTGCTTCCTCGCTGGTTGGTAAATTTGATTTCTTCATTCGGGGACGATTTATTTGAGCTAAGAGGACTCAACGGAGCTCTCTTTCTCACGACATTACACTGGAAATCCTCCAGGGACACCCAGCCTAGACTGGTGCCGTCAGTGTCCTCAGAAAGCTTTTCTGACACGGCCTCAAGAGATGCACTCCCATTCGCGAAATGCGCGCATGGCGGATGGTCGTCTTTTCCAATTTCACCAGACTTCAGTCGATCGTTACTGCAAAAATTTGTATGGTAAGTATGGTTGTTTGTTACACCGTTGGAAAGCCTTGGACCTCAGCTATGCGTGGAGCACCATTTTAGTTGTCTCCTAGCAACAAAACTCACAGAAAATGCGATTTTACTGTAAGGGTCACATACGACCCTTTCGCTTATGTGAGACCCATAAAGGGTTAATCCACCATTTCACCGAAGGGTTATCCATCAATCTGGTTAGCTGGGTAAAAACTTAAAAGTGTAGGATCGTGGATTGGCGTGAAGTCGACAGTATGACGACTTGAGTCTTGGAGCGAATGATTCCAGCACCCCCCCCCCCCCTCCCTCCCCCCCCCCCCCCCTCGTCCGCAACCATCGGATTCTGCAAACACGGGAAACCAGAACTCCTGCATCTCCATAATCCCCACCTCTGGAACGCAGGGAATCCTGATTCCGAGCTCTTACTGCTGGCTTTTGCTGTGGTTGCAGAGGATTTCCAATGTCCATCAAGCAATACAAGACTTCGGTACTTTGACATCAAGTTGCCCTATTGGGAAGCCGTAGCCGTGTGTGCCAAGGTGAACGGAGATATACCTCTGAAGACGTCGTGCCCAATCAGGTTTATGGAAGACATTGGCCACAGAGTGGGTACGAAGCCCATAACATGGTTGCAACATGGCGGCGAATCCCTTGAGGTTGGAATTGGATCCAATGGTGCCAAACACAACATAGCTACTTTAACCCAGACGACCGAACTCAAGGTTGTGTGTGAATTGCCTAAACGTGAGTATTGGTATTATTATACGCATTTCCGCGGCAGGGTCAACCAAGCAATTATGCTTGATCCACACGTTCGCTTATAATGCTGTAGAAATCGCATAAAAAAAGCTGCATTGAAAACGCCGCTAAGGGCCATAAAGTGAAGATACGGATACCAGCTGGAAGAGTGATCTCATTCAAATCCAGTGTCAACTCTTAAGTGACAAAACAATTGGATTTACTTTTTTTTCATTGCAGCTCTTCAATTGCTTTTTTTTCAATTGCGAATAGTTCCGATGGACCTGACTGTTCTTCGGGTCCATCGGAACTATTCTTCTTAAAGTATGTACACTCGATCTGCGGACAACACTGCTCTGTCCTTCGTGGGCTCATCAGCGCAACGCGGAGAAAATGAGACCAAACCTCATGATAACAAAAGTACATAACCAAGAGTGTGCAACTCGACGATCCCCCAGCCCACGGGGAAGTTTTTTTATGACATCAGTCTTTGGCGGCTGTTTGGCTCACTGATGCCATCATACGTAGCCAGAGATCAAAGTACACATAATTTGTACATTACAGCTACGCTAGTCGAAGCAGAACAACGGACGATAGATCGTAAGGATTATCGAAAGACTTTATATGTTATATGTTGGACTCAGTAGAGCGTCCAGCCCCTATATGATGTCCAACCCCTATATAGAGTCCATTGGTGCAAAATCCACTGTACAGAGTCCAAACTTGGAATCAACTGTGAGCTCAAAGTTTAGATGGACATCACTCCCTGTATAGAGTCCAGCCAATCGGCTTCACCCCTATATAGAGTCCATTGGTCCAAAATCAACTGTACGGAGTCCAAACTTTGAAATCAACTATAAAGAGTCTTTATGTGGACAACACTCCCTGTATAAAGTCCAGCCAATTAGGCATCCCCTATCGAGTTCGAAATTAGACATAGGATCTGCTGTAAGCAGTGAATATTAACCAGAAAACGGTCTCTCCCTTTAATCCTTTACATCATTCACTTCTCAAGATAAAAAATAAGTATTGAGGCGCCACCGCAGCCACTTCATTACATGAAAAACCCTACAAACACCATCCTCAAATCAAGTGGTCTCTTCGCAGACGCTGCAAATTACAATATCTCAATCATGTAGTGTTGCCGAATTATTGTGCACGCACACCCACATGCACACACCCACACAACGACAAGAAAATACCTAGAAAAAAACTAAGAATCGAAAGAGAATAATGGAGACCCCAGGATTAATTATTTGTTTTCAAATTATTGTGCGCACGTGCACACACACACACACACACACACACACACACACACACAAACTTATACAACGCCAAGAAAACACCAAGAAAAGAGTAGAGACACAATACACACGCAACTCCAACAGCCATGCAAACGTCCACCCATTTACACGTAAAGTCAAGAGGGATAACAAATAACTATACGAAACGAATGCATACGGGGACGGGTACACGCACGTTTACATACACGTAGTAGTGTAAGAGAGTAACATAGTGCAGTGGTCAGCATAATATTAGCACATGCTGAGAGTGCAATAGCAAGCTTCACCATTGCTCATGGCCATGCAAATGTTCAGCAGCACTCAGTTCCGCAAGCTTCAGCACACCTGCAACAAATAGATAGCACAAGGATACGCTTATTACCGTAATGATGCATGGGAGCACACAACTACCAAGTTCTCAACGAATGTGATGCTCAATGAAAATCCATCCACTCAAAGACCTGTGAACAGGTGACGGTGGGGACAATAATCTATTAGTAATACGAGGAATAAGATCGTTTGTGCACACTCAAGACGCACAGGCACACCAACATACATGTAGTGTACACAGTGTTTCACTTCACTGCAACTAAATTGAAATGAAATGATTTGAACAATCTGTACAGCGTTGCCGTCAGTCAGTCTTCCCCAAGATGGAAATGCAATGATTTGTTGTCACGAGGCAGTTTCACTGACACAATGTCATGTTCGTGACATCAAAACGGTTACTTCAGGGAATACGAGTATTAGCTTGAGAAGCTTTTTCTTGTCATTGGCATACAAGCAATCCTCCTCCTACTACTAGTACACTGCCACTGCGTTTGTGGATCCCATTGTATTTGACATCATCCTAGAGGTAGAGTGTCGTGGAGTTCACATAATTATCACAGGGATAAAAATACATTTCTCATGAAATAAAAATTAATAATAATTGATGATAGCTAGACGATCGTATACGATTAATGCAAAGTCCTTGCACAGTTGCAGTCCTTGATCTTGAGGACTATTACGAAGTGGTTGATTACATTTAGGGCATTCATTCAAGCAACATCAAACAAACGCGATACGCTCCTTGAAAATGGAACAAAATTCAAGCATAACGACAGAACAGCAGACCAATCGAAACCAGTAAAAGCTTCCTTACCTCAGTCATCGTCCTGCCATGTAGTTGGACAGCCTTTTGACACGGTGGTACAGGCAGCTCTTGTCCAGTCAAACAGGGGTATCCTTGTGGCGACGAACGAAAGAGAGTGTCAGTGTATCTGACTCGTCAGATTGGAACTGTGCTGAACTGTTCTCTTTCTCCGCTTTCTGCTTTCATCCCTTGCTCTGATGAAACCGTTCAAACGTCTTACTGGCAGCAATGGCCAGCCAAACAGGGGATCCTTGTGGCGTCGAACGAAAGAGAGTGTACCTGACTCGTCAGATTTGAACTGTGCTGAACTTTTCTCGTTCTGCAATTTCTGCTTTCATCCCGCGCACTGATGAAACGTCTTCAGAGAATCACAAGACGCTTTCCAGATTTGATTTTGAACGTCTCCTTATCCTCCTTGGTTACCTCGAGATAGATTGCTGTCAGCAACTGCACAGCAGAACTGGCAGCCATGGCTGAAGTGAAGAAAGGAATGCGCTGCCACGAGGCAAGCAAAACTGAAAATGTGTTTGTTCTCTTTCGGGCACAACACACAGGACGGTGTGACTGGATAAACTGGACTTCTGGACTGTGAATAGGGGACTCGTAGAAAAAGTGTACTCCTTATAGGGGATTGCGCGGCAGGATGAAGCTGATAAAAACTGAGTGGACTCCTGGACTCTGTATAGTGAATTTTGGACCAATGGACTCTATATAGGGTGCTGGACATCATATACTTGGTCCGCGTCAGCGATATTGTCGCTTATCATTCAGCTTTGTTTATATGTCGCCAATGCTTACTTGGCAGCCCATTTCATCCCAATTTTGGTTAGCAAGTTAGTTTGCTGGTACATGAAAGGTCTAGCTAGAGTTCGAGTGGATGTCGAGAGCGACAGGTGGGTGATTCTGATTGATACAGCGCCGCATCAAAATAGATTATCTGGTTACGCTGTGCAGGCAAGAGCAGCGCAAGCCACAAGAAAGTAATCGGCTACTCGGAATCAGCTCCATTTTGCTGAACGGCCGAGATCGCTCACCTCAGGGATCGCTCATCAAGCTGAGATCGCAGCTCCCTTACCTCCAGCTCCTCGCTCGGAGTATCCAGCGCGTCGTGGAGATTTGCAAGTACATGTACTGTACGCGTCGTCGTCGTTCAAAATAAAATCTTGCAAAGAACGGCGTCTGATTTGAACCACACAGGCTGTCGTGCTGCCCAGGCAAAGTCCTACAGAGAAGGCGACCGTCACGATCGACTTCTCTTTAGAAAATAGCCAGGCAGCCGAGAGGAAGAGGGATGAGCTTGCAAAAGCAAGAGAGTCGATCCCGAGCAAAAATATTTGTCGCCAGCGCCGAGAGCAGCGACGAGGAGGACCGAGCAAAGTAGGAACCCTTCCTTGGACAATAAATTCCTCGCAGGTATTTGTCATTCTATACCTTACCGTCCATCGTACCAAGTTTTATCACTTCAGGTGCACGCGTTCATGTCCAAAGTCTAAGTTCAAATTGTCGAAAGATAAGCGACAATATTGCTGACGCGGACCAAGTAGTGCATGGACTCTATACTGAGTCCTACATATAGGCCTGTTGAGGGCATCAGTTTGGAAAGTAAAATGAGTTGGTATGCCATCAGTGTAGGCAGTTCATCGGCGATGCTGCTGGCACAGAGCTTGCTTGGCATCCCGGAAACATGTCGTGGATGTCACAGGCGTGGGGATCATATTCAAACTATGTTGGAGTAGAACACACAAGCAAATGGGCAGAACTTAGCATTCTGTGTAATGTATGAGATTTCACATTCGTTGGCAGTCGTTTGACGAGCCAGGAAATGTTGAATAAATACAAATGCAAACACAAGAGCATTAGCGATGGTCTACCTTTGAGCCGTGTCGGGCAGAGTGTAAGTCATTAATTTCCATTTTCATTCTTTTCCTTTGTACGTTTTCATTTTTAACAGAACTGCAATGCCACTCTGAACCGATGACAATCATCCAATACTTTCCCGTCAAAAAATCCATTTCTGGAGCGGTAGAGGTGTGTAGGTTGTTCAATGGAGAGATCCCAACAACGACCCAATGCGTGAGAGAGAACTTTCCAACCACTGGTGCATCCGTTGCTTGGTTGAGAGATTCTAAGGGAACTAGGGGACGCTATCATTTGGCAACTGACTCGCTTTTCTACGACACTACATATCGACCCGAACACAAACACAGCGTTGTGTGTAGAATTTCACCAGGTAAGGATCACCATGTCTTCTTCCGTCAAAAGCCAAAAAAACACAAAACACCCGCCATGTGCATGTGGGTTTGTACCTGTGAGTCCATGTGTTCGCTTGCGTGAGTAACTTTGTGTGTGTGTGTGTGTGTGTGTGTGTGTATGTGTATGTTCACCAATTCAATCGGAAGCCATTCATGAGTGAAGAGGAGGCTGAGCGTGTGGCTACTGTATGTGCTGAGTACTGTGCTAGTCTTGAATCTCGTTTAGCCACGAATGACCGCGCCTCGTCTGTGGACTGTAAGTGGAGTACCGTGAAGTCGGCTGTTGTTGACGCGGCGGAGCAGGTGGTTGGTCGGGACAAGCGGCGGATGCCATATTGGTTCCGTGACAATGCCCTTGTATTGGAGCCTCTACTGGAGTCTCGTAATACCCTGTATAGCCAATGGCTGAGAAGCGGCAGGGACTCTGATCACCGGGCGTTCAAAGAAGCGCGTGGCCGGGCTCGTACTGGTATCCGGAAGGCAAAAACAACTTGGTTGATGGACAAAGCGGCGGTGGTGCACCGTGGACATTTCAGTGGCAAAGCTGTCTGGTCTGCCATTCACGACATGCAACGCTGCTTTGGGGGCTTGCAACCCCTGTCTGTCCAATCCATCCGCAATGCCGATGGAGTTCTTTGCGAATCTGTTCAGGAGCAGCAGGGCACATGGCATGGGCATTTCTCGGGTGTCTTGAATGTCTGCAGTGTGTACGATCCGCATGTCTTCCAACTTATCCCTCAGCGTGAGGTCGAGGACTCCCTCTCACTGCCACCATCGGAGGATGAGCTGACCCAGGCAATTAGACACCTACTGAATGGCAAAGCTGGGTGTATGTCACAGATTGTGCCGGAGCTGCTGAAGGTTGGTGTGCCTGTCCTCCATCCACTCCTCCTGGACCTACTCCAATCTGTCTGGTTGGGGGGTGTGTGCCCCAGGACTGGCGCGATGCACTGCTGGTACCGATTCCAAAGAAGGGCGACCTCTCTCGCTGCGATAATTGGCGAGGGATCGCATTGCTGGAGGTTGTCAGCAAGTTGGCTGCTCGGATCATGCAAAACCGATTGCAAGGTATTGCCGAGGCGGAGCTGCCTGAATCCCAATGCGGGTTTCGGCGGCACCATGGTTGTGCGGACGCCATCTTCTCTGTCCGTCAACTTGGTGAGAAGTCGTACGAACATCGATCGAAGCTCTTCTGCGTATTTGTGGATCTCCGCAAAGCGTACGACTCTGTCCCTCGCGAAGCTCTTTGGCAGGCATTGCTGCGGCTGGGTGTGCCGCCCTCGACTGTGGCCATCATCAAATCATTCCATACAGACATGTCAGCTTGCGTTCGCGTTGCCGGTGGTTGCACGGATCCGATATCTGTCAAGAATGGGCTGCGCCAAGGGTGCGTGATGGCACCTGTACTGTTTAACTTGTACTTCGGCTTAGTTATTGAGCGTTGGCGATCCCTTCTCGTGGAGCGTGGAATAGAGTCTGGTGTGGACTTCAGCTTCACAATTGATGGCCAGCTGTTCCCTCGTGTCACTAGGCGTCGTCCCCACTCCGAGTCCGGCCATGCTGATGACTTCGAGTTTGCGGATGATGCTGTACTGCTCGCTACAACTCGCAACGCAGCCGATCAATCTCTGTCTGCCTTTTGTGAGGTCGCATCCAGCTTGGGTCTCACAGTGAGCATGACCAAGACCAAGATTCTCGTTGCAGGTTTCGGAGTTTGCCCTGCTGATTGCTCTGATTTGGTCATTGGCAGTGATAGGGTTGAAGCAGTCACCTCATTCCCCTATCTTGGTTCCACCATCACTCCAGACTCGCGGTCGCAAGCGGACATTCGGAGCCGTCTAGCAAAGGGTGCAGGGGCCTTTGGTAGTCTTCGGCGCATCCTACATGACCGGAGCCTGAACCTCCCTACTAGGCGCCACCTGTATGTCGTTTGCGAACTGTCAACGGTTCTGTATGGTTCAGAATGCTGGACGCCGTTGAAGGCAGATTTAGATAGAATGGACCGGTTTCACCATGCCAACATTCGCTCCATCCTTGGCGTATCGCGAGGCCGACAATGGGAACAGCGCATCTCTTCACAGGAACTGCGAGCACAGTGGGGTGATCCCACACCATTGTCACGCATGGTGCAGCAGAGACAGTTGGAGTGGCTTGGGCACCTGGCTCGTCTTGATGACACCAGAGTACCGAAGCAGTTGCTGTTTGCCTGTCTCCCTCAGTCTCGGCCATTCTGTGGACCTCGTCGTCGTTGGAAGGACACCATTCACACGGACCTATCCGTGGCTGGAGTGCGTAACTGGTTGGAGTTGGCAAGCGATTGTGGAGAGTGGCGTGGAGTGGTGACAGCAGCAGGTGAGGACAAGGAACCTGCCCCGAAGAGCATCGAGTGCCCAAGCTGCAACCGTCTGTTCCGCCGTAGTTCCGACATGGCCCGGCACAAGTGTTCAGCAATCTGTCAGCTCCCGGTATCGGAGCAGCCTGGATCAGTACAGTGTCCAACATGCAACCGATGGCTACGTAGCAGAGGAGGCTTTGCGGTGCATAAGTGTCGGCTAGGCGATGTCGACCAGCCGCCGGCCCCTGCCCCTGCTCCTCTTGTTGTTCCGGGTGTAACTTGCACCAACTGTCAGCGTTCATTTAAATCGGCTGCGGGTCTGAAGTGTCACCATTGTGGAACCTGTCCAAAGCGCCCTACTGTGGCTGAACACCAACAATTCAAGTTTCACTGCCAAGTTTGCCACAACCGACGGTTCCGGAGGCGGCAAGATCTGGAACAACACTTGGAGCATTGCCTTCCTCCCCCCTAACCTCTCTGACAGTACATACCATCTGGGAGCGGCGTGGCACAATCCTGGCAGCTGTCAATAATAGTAGTAGTAGTATGTGTATGTGTGTGTGTGTGTGTGTGTGTGTGTGCGTGCGTGCGTGCATGCGTGCGTGCGTGTGTGTGCGTGCGTGCGTGCGTGTGTGTGTATGTGTGTGTATGTGTGTATGTGTGTGTGTGTTTGTGTGTGTGTATGTGTGTGTGTGTTTGTGTGTATGTGTGTTTGTGTGTGTGCGTGCGTGCATGCGTGTGTGTGTGTGTGTGAATTTTATCTGTGGACAGATTGACACCCGCAAAAAATGGCAAAATTAAAGAACGAAGTAGCGGTGAGGCATCCTGCAGCTTCATAACTCGAAGAGAATTGGTGAGCACACATGCTCATTCCCTGGGCATTGCAAATTCACAACTCATTTCATTTCACAGAATCATTTTCAACGTTTCGGCAAATTGCCATCATCAGGATATTGTATCCTGATGATGGCAATTTGCCAAAACGTTGAAACGAAACGTTGAAAATGATTCTGTGAAATGAAATGAGTTGTGAATTTGCAGTGCCCAGGGAATGAGCATGTGTGCTCACCAATTCTCTTGAAATTAAAGAAGCCAAGAAAAAAACCCTGCGCGATTTGAATTGCGATGTCTACGACTTTTTTGGGATGGGATCTGCAGGGAAACTGACATCCTGGTTAGCGTGACAGTTACGTGTGCATGGCAGAGGAGTATAGGAACGCCGTGCTGAGACAGAACCGTGTTTTCGATGCAATGCGAGAGAAGTTTTGGTTGTTCCGGTGTGGTGCTGGGAATCCTGAAGCTGGGAATCCCTTGTTCTACCAGCACGATGGTGCAAGTCCCCAAACCACCAAGGCAAACCAGCAGCATTGGGTACGATATGGTGCCACACCTACTCATGGACAGACACACTACACACACATTTGTTCTCCTTGATATTCGTACTTTGTACTTCTTGAGGCAACGAACTGAAATAGTGAAAACCAAACACTCACTCATTGACAGACACACTACACACTCACTCATTGACAGACACACTACACACTCCGTCAGGCGAAATAGCACGTCATAGTACATTTGACATCAGCGGGAAGAAGATGACGACGTCCACTAATTTAGTATCTGTGCACACGAATCTGCTGTGTGTGTGACTCTGTGTGTCAGCTATGGCATCATCCTCTGTGGTTCCATGCCTAGCATGCACGTCTGAACCATCCTGCAAAGTTTGAATGACGTAGGTTGAGCGATCGCTCCGCGAAACATACTTTTTGACATTCTCTTCATAGTATATCTTCCACCATTGAAATTTCGAATTTCTTGCTGAGAGGGGTGGCTTGCAACCTCGATATGGCTTGTTCCAGGCATGCTTTGGAGCCATCCCCTGTTGAAGTAGTGGCGGGGATCTGCACTGCAACTGCTACAACAAAAATATGATTCGATCTGAGAAAGGGTGAGACCGCGAATCTCGGTTGAATATTGAGTATTTCAAGCCTTTTCACGACAAAGATGGAGTCCTTTTGGAGATGGACGTCACGGCAAAGGACATGGTGTCCGACTTCTGGCATCTGGTGAAGCCAGGGATCATTTGTCCAGTCAGGTCGGCAGCCTAACCGTCGGTAAGCTTGTGTTAAGATCCCGTTCTGCTCGATGTGGTAGATTACAAACAATTTGATATCGCACAAATTGATCTCAGCATCGTGCGTACGGTATTTTATATTCAGAAAATCCCAAAGTGTCTCTGTGTGGCCGTCCTATGCCACGAGAAACTCCAATCAGGCTCCTATGTCCTCTGCCTTCATGATTGAATGTCCACTTCGTTTGACCAACGAACACAAGAGTCGAGGACGGCTTTGCAATGAAAAATACAGCTATATACTGGAGCTGAAAAAAAGAAGAAGAAAAAACGTGCTCAGGATGAGACTCGAGAACACGCATACTCTCCCAGCAGGTGAAACGGAAATTTTTCTGAAAAATGCGTGTCGCCGAATGACCAGTAATTTCGCTTGACGCACTCATTGACAGACAAACTACACACTCACTCATTGACAGAAACACTACACACTCATTTATTGACAGACACACTACACACTCACCGAGTCATTGACAGACAGACACACTACACACTCACTCATTGACAGACATACTACACACTCACTCATTGACAGACACACTACACATTCACTCATTGACAGACACACTACACACTCACCGAGTCATTGACAGACACACTACACACTCACTCATTGACAGACACACAATACACTCACTCATTGACAGACATACTACACACTCACTCATTGACAGACACACTACACACTCACTCATGGACAGACACACTACACACTCACTCATGGACAGACACACTACAAACTCAGTCTTACCCATGACCACCTCCGTACAATACACTCAAGCTACATGTTATGTATGCTCTGATCCATTGTGCAGCGAGCAGCCACCTGTGCTTGAGGACAAGAACGAACATCTTTGTGTACGCCAATCTAGCTACGGTAACACAGGCCGAGGAGCAATGCCGAAGTCTAGGCGGACGTTTACCGGCTGGAAGTCAGGAAGCTGAATGCCTAGAACAAGCCGTTGACACGGTGGGCGCACACGCTAATGAAATCCGGCCGTGGCTGCTGAGACTTTTTGATAATCCCGTGAGAGAAGGCGACCGGTATACTCTGCACAGAGCTGTTGCACCGCCAAATGAGCACGCACGCAACACTGTGGCATGCGCCTTCAGTCTGAGTAAGATCAAGCACAGGCAGTCATGAGTAGTAAATTTATTTGATTTGCATTAACGGCACCGTTATTGGAGTTGAAGGGTGAAGTTTCACACAGGTGTAGAGTGATCGTGATGTTAATCCCCCCAAAATTCTCCTTTTTTCAGGCTATGAAAACTTCTGTTGTCTGACCAGTCGTGAGGAAGGCTCGTATGCTCGTTTCATACGGGGCAAAGAGTCAGCATGTTTGCAAGCTCTCTCCTATAAGTCCAATGGTCGTTCGTGTTTTTCGTTTTGTTTTCGTGTTTGCTTGCTTGCTTCCTATCACTGTGCCTGCTTCTTTCTCTTCTTTTTGCTCTCTGCCTTTTTTTGTGTCAGGGGAATACTTCTGCACCCAGGAAGTAAGCTTGGTCCATTATCCACAGGCTAACATGGATAGCGCCGAAAATATGGCGGCATTTTGTCAGAATCAAAAAGCTCGGGTTGCGACTGACGGTGATATGAAGTGTGTTGAAGATTTCAGATCTCTGATTCTCTCAGAGACGGGTCACTTTGAACAAAACTTTACTTACCAGTTGTGTGTAGTCCGTACTAGTAAGTACATCACACACCATTGTGTTTAGGCATTGCGTAATAGTTTCCTATGAGTTTTCAGGGGCGTCGGACACGGTACGGTCACTACGGTATTGACCGTACCACTTTTTGCCCCAGGTATTCGGTGAATCAATAAAATACACTGATCTGGGATCTAAATTTCCAATAACTTCGGCTCAGCCACCACTCCCCCGCGAGTAAATTGTACTTCACATGGCTGACCGTATCACACTAAAATACCGAACGTAGTGGCCCGTCTCTCCGCAGTGGTGGCACACAGCCGTGGACTGCCGGGTTGTGGGCCTGGCTGGCTCGGCTGGCAACCGTTGCGCTGGGGCAGGCCGGGCTGGTGCGGCACTCCAGTTGCCGGCTGGTGCGGGAGTGCTGGCCCGAAAGGGCTGCTGCTGGGGCTTCTTTGGCTTCGAGCCATCCTTTCCCTGCTTCGTGGCCTCGATGGCTAGGCGGAGACGTTTCCGTTTGTCTGCGCTGGCCAAGAGGCCAGCCATGCCGTCCCCTTCCGTGAACGCTGTGGCGGTGTCATGGCCATGGCGGTCCGCCACTGCTAGCCAGTCCAACCCATTCTGCAGGACTTCGCTTGAGTTCTTGAGCTCCTTCAGCGCCTTGGTCTTTTTAGATTTTTTAACAAATGTTTTGGCCGTTACCAGGTGCCCAGATATTTCGGAGAGGCATTCGAATTGATGTTGGTAGCTGAGTCGTTTCATACCTGGCATAGTATGCGGCACTGACTGGCTCCTCTTCTTATTTTTACGCTTTTTCTTCTTGGATCTCCTCTCCGGAGACTCTGAGGACGAGCTGGACGAGCTCGACGAGCTGGACGAATTGGACGAAGATGAGGAAGAGGAGGCCGACCGGCGGCGCTTCCTCTCCTCCAGCCGAATCACTTGGCGTTCCAGAAGACGCATCATCAACTCTACCTCGTCCTGCGAGGAGGTTTCAGCTGTCTCCCGGGCAGCTTCCGCACGACGACCTCTCGGCATGATTGCAAAAAATAAGTTACCACAATTTGCAAAAAAGAAAACTTCTCCGCTGTGTACAAAACGGACTGCACCCTTGATGAGCAAGACAAAAAGAAGGACAATCTTTTTGCGCAAGTGCTGTTTCACAGCGCTCGCTCAACAACGATTACGTCACTACAGTGACGTCAACCTGCACTGCGTGCCACAACAAAAAAATAATACAAGCTTCGCAAATATTCGAAGTTCGAGAGAACATTGCTTCTCGTTTCTTTCGAATTCTCAGCCAACGAGAAGCATACACAATATGTTCCTGTAGGGTCAGGTAACCGTTGAATGTATCTGCACCTAGTACGTACCTCATGCTCGTGAGCCTGTGTGCTAAGTAGTCACAGCTACTGTGATTGCACTCCGTGTGTGCAGATATGTTTTCATGGAAGTGAAGGGCTTGGAGAGCATCAGTACAGAGCCTGTTGTGGATGCAATATCAGCCCCTGGAACTTGGCCATATGCCGTTAGCTGCCCAATAGTCAGTGAAGCCAATGATTTACTTGGACAAGCCAGTGTCTGAGTACACCCCCAAGGACTATAAAATTCCTCCTTGTTAGCCGGCTGAGTAATGGCAATGCCTAACAGGATAAGACACATACCAACGCTCATACTTGCATCTTACACAGAAATGCCACTTCCAACATTTGTACAGAGATGTGGTGTACTGCATTTTTGGGTCACTTACGGTGCTGTGATTGATCTAAAATTTCTTGAGACTGGTTATCAGTAGTTGTGGATCAATTTGGAGCACAAAAATATTAATTTTGCACATGTGATGGTTTTTGCTGATCCAGGCTGATTTATTATTGGCTCAACATCCGAGTTTTAGAATTAGAAGAGCCAATAAGAAAAACAGCGCGAGTTGAATTGCGATGTCTACGATTTTTTTGGGATTTGATCTGCAGGGAAACTGACATCCTGGTTAGCGTGACAGTTACGTGTGCATGGCAGAGGAGTATAGGAACGCCGTGCTGAGAAAGAACGGTGTTTTCGATGCAATGCGAGAGACATTTTGGTTGTTCCGGTGTGGTGCTGTGAATCCTGAAGCTGGGATCCCATGTTCTACCAGCACGATGGTGCAAGTCCCCAAACCACCAAGGCAAACCAGCAGCATTGGGTTCGATATGGGGCCACGCCTACTCATGGACAGACACACTACAGTCCATTCATAAAAAGATGGGTCCTGGCTCTGGCGAGCTCCCGTATTTGGCGATTTTTCGTGATTTCATCGTACACAGTACAGTGCTGCGAACTTTGAAATTTGAAAAAGAGTCCAAAAAGGGTGCCTGAACTGGGGTTCGAACCGCAGAATGCACTGTTGCAGGCGGGGTCAAACGGCCTGGATTTTGATGGTTTTTCCCAATTCAGTGCTTTTGGGGCAAAACCTGGCCGAAATCCTATTCTTGCTATGGCTTGCTTTTTGGACAAAAAAACTTCAGAAACATAATTGGAAGAGGATTCCATATGGGATTGCAGAAAAAAATTCTAAAAAAACTCAACGTTTGACCCATTTATGGCCAAAAGCTAGAAGTTCATTTTTTTCTGAATGGACTGTACACACACATTCGTTCTCCTTGATATTTGTACTTTGTACTGTTGAGGCAACGAACTTAAATAGTGAAAACCAAACACTCACTCATTGACCCACACACTACACACTCACTCATTGACAGACAGACACACTACACACTCAGTCATTGACACACACACTACACACTCACTCATTGACAGACACACTACACACTCACTCATGGACAGACACACTACACACTCAGCCTTACCCATGACCACCTCCGTACTGTACACTCAAGCTACATGTTATGTATGCTCTGATCCATTGTGCAGGGAGCAGCCGCCTGTGCTTGAAGACAAGAACGAACATCTTTGTGTACGCCAATCTAGCTACGGTAACACAGGCCGAGGAGCAATGCCGACGTCTAGGCGGACGTTTACCAGCCGGAAGTCAGGAAGTTGAATGCCTAGAACAAGCCGTTGGCACGGTGGGCGCACACGCTAATGAAATCCGGCCGTGGTTGCTGAGACTTTTTGATAATCCCGTGAGAGAAGGCGACCGGTATACTCTGCACAGAGCTGATGCACCGCCAAATGAGCAAGCACGCAACAATGTGGCATGCGCCTTCAGTCTCAGTAAGATCAAGCAAAGGTAGTCATGAGTAGTAAATTTGTTTGATTTGCATTAACGGCACCGTTATTGGAGTTGAAGGGTGAAGTTTCACACAGGCGTAGAGTGATCGTGATGTTAATCCCCCCAAAAATTCTCTTTTTTCAGGCTATGAAAATTTCTGTTGTCTGACCAGTCGGGAGGAAGGCTCGTACACTCGTTTCATACGGGGCAAAGAGTCAGCATGTTTGCAAGCTGTCTCCTATACGTCCAATTGTCGTTCGTGTTTTTCGTTTTGTTTTCGTGTTTGCTTGCTTGCTTCCTATCACTGTGCCTGCTTCTTTCTCTTCTTTTTGCTCTCTGCCTTTTTTGTGTCAGGGGAATACTTCTGCACCCAGGAAGTAAGCTTGGTCCATTATCCACAGGCTAACATGGATAGCGCCGAAAATATGGCGGCATTTTGTCAGAATCAAAAAGCTCGGGTTGCGACTGACGGTGATATGAAGTGTGTTGAAGATTTCAGATCTGTGATTCTCTCAGAGACGGGTCACTTTGAACAAAACTTTACTAACCAGTTGTGTGTAGTCAGTACTAGTAAGTATATCACACACCATTGTGTTTAGGCATTGCGTAATAGTTTACTATGAGTTTATAATAACTTATTGGTCTATTTTTAATCCCATAGTGTGCAGTGGGGCAGCAGTATAGAGGGCAACGCTACTGCCAACATTTTTTAGTTTGAATTCTTTGTTGCCGTCTTCAATAGGTCCGTCAAAGAGTAGTTATCGTTGTTCTTTTGACCCGACGAGACCACACGGCGCTTGCAGACGACAGCACAAACATTTCACCAGCCACACTCAACGAAAGCAAGTACCGTGTTTGCCGGAGTATAACGCACACCTGAGCAAAATGCGTACCCTCTGTTTTGAGTAACAGGTTGGCTATTCAAGGCATATCTGGAGTATAATGCGCAGCCTAGATTTGAGAGCATCATCGACAGTACACATAGCCAGCAATCGCATGTCATCACGTACATTGAAAATCAGCATAATTTTGCGAATCGACCTTTTTTTCAGGATCACTTTTCAACGAGGACGAAGCAAAGTCGGCCGAACGAAGCCTAGAGGAAGAAAATCACCCTCTCCACTTCACCATCACGATACTGACATAGATACGAGATGAAACAACTAAAAAATCCACAAGAAAACTGTACGACCATCATCGCGCTGACTTTGGTCTGACTTTGGTCTAAGAATTTCTATCACGATCAAAAATGTACGAGGAGCACTCAAAAATCAGCCACAGACGTACCTTTATCGCTCTCTACTCCGTTTTCAAGGCACAAAAGTCAACTCTCCACTTTCAAACCAGGAACCAGACATACCAGTGGTCCTTTTCAGCTGCTCCACGAGCGCAGGAAATGTTCACCAAGGGGCGCAGAGCAGCATCCATTCCAGAAAAAGAGCTAAAATACGAGTGAGACTGCATGCCTGAGTACATGAGTACATGTATGAGTACATGCAGAAAATAGTCAATTTCAGCGTTTCTGCTCCAAACAGCAACTAGCTTCGACTAGAAACAAAGATTACACCAAAGGATCAAACAACAACCATTTTCTGCAGTTTTTTGGCAGATGGCTTCCTTGTGCTTGGCCCAGCACGCCAAAAATCACACCTCGGAGGAGTACAAAAATTACAACTCTCAGATGTCCTCGATTGCTGGCCATGAATTTCAACCATTTTCCATATATAATGCGCATGCTACTGATGGGGTTCTAACCAATCATGTGTTAGCAGTGTAGCTGGCTGTAGACACTAGAAATGCACTCAGTCATATGGTTTGCTCCGGTTCAGAGGCGGAAAACTTCGTAATTGTTGGATACACTGCACTGATTTTCAAAGTGCATGCACATGCACTTTCATATTCGGAGCATAGTGCGCACCTGCGATTTGGGGCCTGAAATAGTACATCTAAAGTGCACACTATGCTCCAGCAAATACGGTAGTGTTACTCCTGATAAGACTTGTTTTGTTCCATATAAAGATGCCGGCAACTCATCCAAGGAGAAGCAGTTGTTGAATGAAGGGATTAAGCTGAATAATGCTATTTTTATAGAGAAAATTCTGGCGCAAGGTGTGAACACTCAACTAACTCACATAATATGTGACAAATCAACCCAAAGGAATAGTACAGAATGGAGGTGTTATGAACACCACCATACATAACTATCGCAAGTGCTCAGTCAATCACAATGATAAGGAGGGGTACACATGAATCGGTGGCGCTAGGGTACACATCACAAAGAGTGTTGGGGTTGTGACAAAGATAAGTGAAATGTAGACGCCAAGTGAAAACTAACAAATCATCACGGACATCTAACGTCGCATCTGAAGATTGCCAACTACACAAGACAAAACACTTCACAATCCTCGGAAAATCATTTTTTTGCCAACGGTAGGTGAGGGGAAGGCTGCTGGAGTGTGACATAGTGGAGAACTGTGGGCTGCTGAAGCGACGGGTCCATCCAGATCATCACTGCAGGGTTGGCGTTTTTAACCCTTTAACCATACATAACTATCACAAGTGCTCAGTCAATCACAATGATAAGGAGGGGTACACATGAATCGTAAACGACGCATTCAAATGCAAAACTTCAAAAGATTGTAACTCAGTTCAATCTCGCTCAAATCCAGTGATCGAAATATCCAGGGCGAAGAGAAAACTCTCACCTGTCGGGAGAAACAATCCGCGAAGCGCTGCGAGCAACGGTTCCTGAGATAAATCACTCGTAAGTTGAGCCGCTATCGCGGCAATTTCAAAAGCGCACAGTGCGACTTTAGTATTGAGAATTTTGAGACTTTTCGTCACGCTGGTTTACTTGAATTTGCGCGGGTTTCACTGTTGATATTGTCAAGAGTACACAGCGAAAAAATTGGAACTCCACGATCGAGTAAAATGAAATATCTGGAGCGGGACGCAATTGGACGCATTTGGGGCATTTTTCGTACTGTCGCTGCGATCTAGCGCTGGATAGACGGTGTGCTGGCTATCATGATCAACCTCATTCTCTTCCAGGAAGCCCTAGATTGTGAGGATTGAGTGAGTAGAACTGAAGCTATGATCCAAGGAACACGAAAAAATGCAGAATTTTGAGAAATTCCTGTGGCTCTTAGGGAGCATCTCATAAGTTCGCATTTTGTTTCTAAACGTAACGCATTTCGAAACGGGGTAGGGGGTAGCGCCCATTTCGGATAGAAAAATGACAGTTCGCACATTTTCTGGATGTGTGCAATACAGTGCTGTGCTTGTGCTAGACCGCTTCAGACAGCAGGGTACGGGTGTGTTTTAGCAATTTAGGTGTAGATCTAACCCTTGCACTACGCATGCAGGCTACTCAGAGGTGTCAAATGTCACACCAGCCTGATCAAACCGTGTACCTGCCACCTGGCCAGCTTTGACAGTACAGTCGTTGTGGAGTAACTCTGTTTATGTGTGTGTACATGTCATTGATTGAACTAAGACTGTAACCAATACTTACTTGTACTCAGTAGATGTGGTACTACTGTATGTCATTCACTTCCACACTAGCGTCCATGTCCATGTACTTGAACATTGTACATGATTGTGCATACCATGGCATGTACAGTACAGTAGATCTACACTGAAAATGTGCGATAAGATTTTCAAATAGTGGGGGGAGGTAGGGGGGTAAAGTCTATTCGAAATGCGTTACGTTTACAAAAAAAGTGCGAACTTATGAGATGCTCCCTTAAAGGGTTAAAATGCTTTTTTCCGAGCACCAGATCATATGGGGTAAGTCATAAGAAGTCATAAGTCAAGAAGTCGTATGACTTCTCCTGGACCAGGATACCTGCCATTGACCAGAAGAAGGGTGCGATCTGCTGCTCGGAATATAGCGTTAGACGCCAACCCTACAGGGATGATCTGGATGGATCCGTCACTTCAGTAGCCCACAGTTCTCGATTATGCCACACACCAGCAGCCTTTCTTTCATCTACCATTGGGTGAATTTGCAATTTCCGAGATTCGTGAAGTAATTTTGTCTTGTGTAGTTAGCAATCTTCAGATGTGACAATAGAAGCCCGTGATGATTTGTTGGCTTTCACTTGGCGTCTACTTTTCACCTATCTTTGTCACCACGCCAGTACTCTTTGTGAAGTGTAAACTAGTGCCATCTATTCCGGTGTACCTCTCCTTCTCATTGTGATTGACTTATCCCTTGAGATAGTTATGTGGTAGAGTTCATAACACCTCCATTCTGTACTATTCCTTTTGTGTTTATTTGTCATATATGTGCGTTAGTTTTAAGTATTCACACCTTGCGCCAGAATCTTCATTGTAAAATAGCATAATTCAGCTTAACCCCTTCATTCAACAACTGCCTCTCCTCTGATGAGTTACCGCACTCTTTATAGGGAACAAAACAAGACTCCATTCCCGCAAAAGGCTCTCAGCTGCACCAAAATAGATAACTTTGCCAATATATCACCCATTGGGCATCATCAGGGCATGATGATGCCCTGATGATGAGAGCCTGTTGCCGGAGAGCCTGCTGAGAGCCTGTTGCTGGAATGGCGGTATTTTCAAGTGCAAGAAGTACGCTGCAATGTAGTTTGGGAATTCTGAAGAAACGTTTACAACAAGACTTGTCAGGGGTAACACTATTTGCTTTCGTGGAGTGCTAGTAAAGTAAATAATTATCGTGTCTGTTCCCGAAGTGAACTCACGCCGGCCGCTAACAACCGGTAAACCCTGGCGGCAGAAGCAGCGCCTAACGGTGGGGGTCAGTGGTTAAGGCTCACGACCACTGGCACAAGTGCCGAGAAACCCTGTGGAGTGTGGCTGGTGAAATGTCCGTGCTGTCGCCTGCAAGCATTGTGTGGTCTCGTCGACTCAAACGGAAAAAAGTTATTATTATCTGGTTTGCCGCAAACCCAGGGAACCAAGATGCAGTGTTGTCATGTATACTGTGTGAATGTTCAGCTTGATCATCCAGCCCTAGCCCAGTCAAGGGTCTGCTCACACTCATATCCATCACTCTGGTCAAAGGTCCGCTCTAATTCAACTTTGTCTATACTTAGCTCCATGTCACCTGGCAGTACTTCGATAACCTGACCACCCCCCCCCCCCTTCAGCTTGAGAAGACGACTTTGTTTAATTGATATCATTCATCTTCTGATGTTCTTTTCTGTGCTCCGACAGAGACAGGGGAATACGAGTGTGCACAGTCGGGCTCAACGCTCAAGTACTTCCCCCTCGAATTGACTGTTTCTGAGGCCACGCTGCTTTGTGCGGAGCATGGCGGTAATCTGCCCTCGTCCATCGCATGCGCCAGAACACTAATGGCAGAAGTACACGGCAGTCACTCTCCATTGGCTGCCTGGACGTCGTACGACAATAATGGACAGCACCTCGACACGAACATAGTGTATATCAGCAAGACCACCGGTGCTCTATTAAAGCGCAAGGTTATTTGCGACCTGCCTTCAGATCCTCAGCCAGACCCAGCCGCTGTGAAAACACTAACAGGTTGGTTAGATTTCTTATTACGTGTATCAGATGCTGGTTAGCCGGAATCAAAAGAGAGAATCCTAAAAGCCTCCAAATTGTGAAGGCTGATGAACGAAGGAAGAAATGTAGGCATGATCGACGCTGTGGAGAATTTCTCCCTATGGTTTTTTTATGACAATAATTATTAACGAAGTAGTGGTTGCGACTTCGGCGATGATTTGTAAGAAAAGGTTTGCTCCCCACACCGGAGCTCGCGCTATTCCGCCGACTTTTCTTGACACTTGACTGACTCACGACTGCCATCCAGAGCACACGAGAAGTCCATCGAACCTTCGACTCGGCAAACCTGCAAGAAAGCACCACTCCCTGCTCAATACACAGTGTTTCGGGGAATTCACCCCTCATCAGTTGAGCTTGAGTAGGCTGAGGAAGATTGTGCCTGAAGAGCACCACTTATATAGTGCTCTCCAGGCACAAACATCACCAGGGATACAAACTTACAGAGACGCTCCGCTTCCAGCGCGACAAACACCTCGTGAACACCAGATAGCAGCGTGAGTCAGTGTCGCTCCTGGACGGTCAGACAGACGTCGAGGACCCTCGGTCATTCGCAACGCTGTCACCTCCAAACCAACTAGTCGCAAGCCCGCGCTGGGCACAACAGTACGAAGTAGTGGTTGCGACTTCGGCGATGATTTGTAAGAAAAGGTTTGCTCCCCACACCGGAGCTCGCGCTATTCCGCCGACTTTTCTTGACACTTGACTGACTCACGACTGCCATCCAGAGCACACGAGAAGTCCATCGAACCTTCGACTCGGCAAACCTGCAAGAAAGCACCACTCCCTGCTCAATACACAGTGTTTCGGGGAATTCACCCCTCATCAGTTGAGCTTCGTACTGTTGTGCCCAGCGCGGGCTTGCGACTAGTTGGTTTGGAGGTGACAGCGTTGCGAATGACCGAGGGTCCTCGACGTCTGTCTGACCGTCCAGGAGCGACACTGACTCACGCTGCTATCTGGTGTTCACGAGGTGTTTGTCGCGCTGGAAGCGGAGCGTCTCTGTAAGTTTGTATCCCTGGTGATGTTTGTGCCTGGAGAGCACTATATAAGTGGTGCTCTTCAGGCACAATCTTCCTCAGCCTACTCAAGCTCAACTGATGAGGGGTGAATTCCCCGAAACACTGTGTATTGAGCAGGGAGTGGTGCTTTCTTGCAGGTTTGCCGAGTCGAAGGTTCGATGGACTTCTCGTGTGCTCTGGATGGCAGTCGTGAGTCAGTCAAGTGTCAAGAAAAGTCGGCGGAATAGCGCGAGCTCCGGTGTGGGGAGCAAACCTTTTCTTACAAATCATCGCCGAAGTCGCAACCACTACTTCGTACTGTTGTGCCCAGCGCGGGCTTGCGACTAGTTGGTTTGGAGGTGACAGCGTTGCGAATGACCGAGGGTCCTCGACGTCTGTCTGACCGTCCAGGAGCGACACTGACTCACGCTGCTATCTGGTGTTCACGAGGTGTTTGTCGCGCTGGAAGCGGAGCGTCTCTGTAAGTTTGTATCCCTGGTGATGTTTGTGCCTGGAGAGCACTATATAAGTGGTGCTCTTCAGGCACAATCTTCCTCAGCCTACTCAAGCTCAACTGATGAGGGGTGAATTCCCCGAAACACTGTGTATTGAGCAGGGAGTGGTGCTTTCTTGCAGGTTTGCCGAGTCGAAGGTTCGATGGACTTCTCGTGTGCTCTGGATGGCAGTCGTGAGTCAGTCAAGTGTCAAGAAAAGTCGGCGGAATAGCGCGAGCTCCGGTGTGGGGAGCAAACCTTTTCTTACAAATCATCGCCGAAGTCGCAACCACTACTTCGTACTGTTGTGCCCAGCGCGGGCTTGCGACTAGTTGGTTTGGAGGTGACAGCGTTGCGAATGACCGAGGGTCCTCGACGTCTGTCTGACCGTCCAGGAGCGACACTGACTCACGCTGCTATCTGGTGTTCACGAGGTGTTTGTCGCGCTGGAAGCGGAGCGTCTCTGTAAGTTTGTATCCCTGGTGATGTTTGTGCCTGGAGAGCACTATATAAGTGGTGCTCTTCAGGCACAATCTTCCTCAGCCTACTCAAGCTCAACTGATGAGGGGTGAATTCCCCGAAACACTGTGTATTGAGCAGGGAGTGGTGCTTTCTTGCAGGTTTGCCGAGTCGAAGGTTCGATGGACTTCTCGTGTGCTCTGGATGGCAGTCGTGAGTCAGTCAAGTGTCAAGAAAAGTCGGCGGAATAGCGCGAGCTCCGGTGTGGGGAGCAAACCTTTTCTTAATAATTATTAATTTATTATATTGATAGAAAAGAAAAAAGGACCAAGGAACTACAAGTCATGCTATAATGTCCACTTACACCACCAGTTACTAAACAATCAGCTCATGCGATAACATTGCACGACACTCACCGAAGGTACTGGCATTCTACAACCAACTAACAATCAGCTCTAGCACGCATTAGATGCGCACTGCAACAGCCTTGCAACGTGGAAAGTTCTAAGTTATATGATAACATAGGAGGGGTGGGTGAGCGCAACCAAGGCAAGCACGAGCTGAAAGTCTCAGCTGTGAAGGACGTTGGCGGATGTGCATGCATGTTGACGACGATACTAGCAAGACCATTGGACAATACGGTCAAACCACGAGTCAAGGACACAATGCAACATTGTACACAACTTGCGTGGCTCAAAGATGCGAAGATCAATTAAAGGGGAACTAAGCAAACAAGAACCAGTACTGCTTTACTGAGGTTTTGCACGATTCTTGTGCGCATCCAATGCGTGCTAGAGCTGTTAGCCAGTTGGTTGTAGAACGTCAGTACCGTCGGTCAGTGTCGTGCAATGTTATTGCAAGAGATGATTGTTTAGTAACTGGTGGTGCTAGTGGATATTATAGCGTAACTTGTACTTCCTTGCTCCTTTTTACTTTTCTATGAATTTATCCTTGGCTCTCCATCCGAGTCCATACTTATATATATATATTTACGATAAATAGTGTCAGTGAAGCGGAAATTACGCAAAAAAACAAAGAGGCTATGTTGAATAAATGTTCCCAATCGATTTTCTTGAGACTAGTTTCATTCATAACAATAGATGCTCTGAATCTGGATTATACAGTGGTTGTGTTACGTAAAAACCTAGGCAGCGGATTGCATGTGGCTAGAGAAAGAATGCGTGTCATGATATTTTATCAGCATGTGTCTCCCTGGCTGAGTACTGTGGCTTTAGTGTTTGCTCTGACTTTCCACTGTCCCTTTTCTGTGATTGCAGAGGAGTTCCATTGTAAACTCAGCAATACAAAACTGAGGTACTTCGATATCAAATTATCTTACGGGCAAGCAGTACGTTTCTGTGCCAAGATCTACGGAAGCATACCTTTAAGGACTTCCTGCTCAAGGGACGCCCTCGACTTTAAACTGCCCGTTGTCTGGATAACGGAAGTTGTTACATCAGCTGCATTTCGACGAGCATCGAATGGTTCCTACCATTCCATAGTTCGCATTCCTCAAGTGGAACTCAATGTCGCCTGTGAATTACCCTACCGTAAGTTCAGTCAGTACCCTTGAATGCAGCTATCTGAAATCCGACGCCAAGTGGGCAAGTGGAAAGCTGGCTCCCTGGACAACCTCCCATTACATACACAGCACTGCTTCAGCGGGTAAAAAGTCGTCCGGAAATCGCAAAACTGAGGGCCATGAACGAGTTGAAGCTGCTCCCTGAACACACCACTGTTCCCTGAAGACACCCCTGTACCTGTGTACATCCAAGTCACCTGACGATCCTGTGTACCGGAACATGTGGGCTGCGAGAGATGTGAGATTGCTAAGACGTTAGAACCTTCAACATTGGAAGGCTTTTCGCTTGCATATTACAGATGTGTCGGAGCAAAGTGTCAGGTGCATTAATACAAATACAGCTCAGTCAGAGCATTGTCATTTTAAACGCGCATTCACAGTACAACTTTTTGTGACGCCACATGCAACTTGTGCCACTAGCGACGAGATGCGACACGGTGCACAATCTGTTTTGGTGTTTTCGACTTCTCTCATAGCCAGCAATCGCATGTCATCACGTACATTCAAAATCAACATAATTATGCTAATCGACCTTTTTTTC